GACCTTGTTGTTACTGTGTCTGGCATATTGAATACTCTCGGTAGCTTGCCGGGCTCTCCGAGAGGGGCGGAGGAATCGAACTCGGGTCGGCCATGTTGGCCGCTTGTAAGGCGAATACCCTACCCACTGTGCTATCGCTCCAGCCCACTGAGAGTATTTAGCCTGCACGGTAAAGCCTGGCAAGTTGCCCGTGATGTATTGGATGTGCCAAAAACAGTAACAACAAGTCTCACAATGGAGACGTTACTGGTGCCCGCTCGAGCAAATTGATGAACAACAGGAGGACAGTGCTAAGATTGCTTGCCTTCGACTTTAAACCCCATCAAATGTGGTGCACTACTACTCTTGGTATATCAGTAGTGTAAAGTATGAGAATTCTCAGCTGTGAAGTCCAGGAATAGATTCAGTCGCAGGTGAGGCTCGTCCGAGCGTGTGGAAAGTAGCCGTGAGCATGGCAGCGGTTGAATTCTGGGGTTTTTCGGCTGCCAGGGCTGGCTCCATTGGGGTGGGGAGGGAGACTCACCTGCCCCGCTCGGGTAGCTCAATTCTGAGTCAACGGGGCTTAATGCAATGATGCTTGGACCCCAGAGTGCCGAGACTCAACCAGAGTCCCCTTAAGGGCACTGGGGGTCTCCACGTGCAGGGAATCGAACCGGGTCATTGTAGGCCCTAACTGCCACGCGCCCGTCGCTAGTCCTTCTGTCAGCTCCTTCCTGCCTGTCTGTCTCTCTCTTCCCTTTCCCCAGAGCTGTGGTGCGCCCGAGGATGTCCAACAGGCTCCAAATCCATTTGCCTCATTTTATTCTTTCAGCTTGAGGGTCATACCTGGCAGCGTTCTGGGGACCCCATGGTGCCAGGGATTGAACCCCTGGCACATGCAAAGCCTGTGCCCGAGCCCTTCCAGCATGTTCCCTGACCCCAAATCCTTCCCTTGGGAATCCTCTTTCCTTCCTGAGTCAGATGCTCGTGAGAGAACTGTCCTCCTGCTCACTGACTCTCCCTCCCGCCGCTGCAGTCCCTTCAGCAACTCCCAGAATTCCTCAGCAGCTACAGGCCAGCCGCCAACTCCTGGCTTCCCACCTGATTTTTGTCTGTTTGTTTGTTTTTCTTTTGTTTGAGGGTCACCCCTGGAAATGTTCAGGGGTTCCTCCTGACTCTTCACTCAATAATTTCTCCCGGTGGTGCTCGGGGAAGCATGAAACGCGGGGTTGAGCCCTGGCTGGCCGTGGGTGGGCACACTCTCGCTCGGGTCTCTTCCCCACCGCCCACCTGATTCTTTGCTGAGTTGCGAACGGAGAATACCTCAGACTTCTCCTCTGTTCTTCTCAGATCTTGTTGTCTTTCGTGGTTTCACCCTAGAAAGGTTGATATCCATCTTAGGGCCAGCGTCCGGAGGATGGTTATTACCAGCCTTATTTCCCACGTGTGGATCTGACTTCGCTTCCGTCGTTTCTTCCCTGTTCTGGTTTTGGGCTGAAAAGTCCAGATTCTGAAGCAGCGTTGTAGTTCCGGAAATCAGTTCTAGAATTCTGCCCTCTGCCACACGTGCGGCCACTGCTTCAGCAGCTGGAGGGGACTCACCCTATAAAGTCTATATTAGTGATCACGTGGGGATACCAAGGCTGGCTGGCTTAGGAGAGATTTAATTGTTAGAGATTTTTGAACTAATCAACCCTGGAGTCCTGGGCAACTGGGCTGGCCCTGTGGCTCCTGTGTTCTGCGGACCCCACAGTGCCAGTTCTGCCCCCATCTTTCCCTTCTACTTCCTGTTCAGCATCTCCAACTCTATCTCAGGAGCTAAGCCCGGGCCATGCTGCAACCCTGGGACCCCACAGCAGCTCTTTGCCCCCAGCCCGGCCTTAAGCTTCTTGTGTTGGTGCTATTTCCTCGCTCTTCTCCTTGGCCTCTGACAGTTCTCATGCTCGGCAGTCGCCATGGGGTTGTGAGGGCGAAACTAATGCCATAGCAAGCTGCAGTTAACACGAAGTCTCAACTAGGCCTCAGTTTCCTGGGAGCAGGACTTGCAGTTTCTGGTAAACTCCCAGTTTACTGGTAAACTCCCAGTTGACTAATTTGCCAAGATAAGGAATTGGGCAGTTGGGTCTGGCTGGTCATGAGGGGTCACTGTATCCTCCTTAGAAACTGTTGCTAACCGTTGCCTAATTGCTGACCACCATTGTAATAGGGCCAATGCTAAGAACAGACCAGTATATCAATTGCTTCTTAATTCTGAACACTATATAAGCTGCTTGTGATTTGGAGTCGGGGTCCTTGTCAAGACTCCACTGCCTTGGAAGAGACCTGGACCCTAGCTCTGGCTAGTGCTGGCTCAGGATAGTAGTAAAGTTCCTTTGCTTTTGCATTTTCATGTGTGGACCTGTTCTCTCTGCAGTTGGGGATCTGAAACTTGGGCACAATAGGGTCATTGGCAAATGCCCCAAGCAGAAGGCCTGTTTTCACTAGTCCTAGTTGAACTCGAGTAAGGCCAGCCTGCTGATTCCTTTGGCCACGACAGGGGGGTCCGCCAGCACTCCAGCCAGGGGCTTCTCGACAGAACCATCCTCAGGAGCAGACCTGGCAGAGACCTGTGAGACATCACTGATGAGAGGGATCGGGAAATGTGGATGAGAGAGAGAACAGGGAGAGATGGGCTCCGAGGGACACAGAGCCTATGGGTCCCGGGTGAGGGTCTGTTTCGCCTCCGGAACTGGGGGAGAGTTTTCTCACCTCAGTGAGGGACTGGCGGCAGGAAACAGCCTGCTTGGCCCCTTCCCTCTGTGCCCTGCTGTGCTCTTCGGTGCCACTCTGCCTCGGACCCAGCAGTGTCCTTCCCAGCCCCAGCCCTATGCAGGCCTCTCTCTCGCTTGTCCCGATTCCTTCCCTTAGAGGCGGAGTCGGTGGGGTAGAGAGCAGGCATCGTTTTGGGGGACGGGGCCATGAGGCAGGCAGAGCTACAGATGTGTGTATGTATTTACACACACATGCACTGGCTTCTGTCCTCCCAGCCACGTTTGTCCGGCAAAGTGTGTCCTTGTGCAGAGGCCCTGGACCCCAGTGCAATACCCTGGGGATGGTCCTTCGCAGCTCCCATCTGTGCCAACGGGCAACTGTGCCATTGCTCTTCATAACTGGGGCTGGAACGATAGCACAGCAGGTAGGGCGTTTGTCTTGCACGCGACCAAGCCGGGTTCGATTCCCAGCATCCCATATGTTCCCCTGAGCACCGCCAGGAGTGATTCCTGAATGCATGAGCCAGGAGGAACCCCTGAGCATTGCCGGGTGTGACCCAAAAAGAAAAAAAAAATAGATGCCCCTATCTCCTCCATCTCGGATCACACACGGGCCGGTTCAGACCCGCCTGCTCTGGTTCACTTCCTGCTAGAAGTTAACGGCTGCTGACTGCGCCTCTGGCCTTCAGTCACGCTTTGTTTGGGGGCCTCTCCCCTCACACTCGGGGTGACGCCCAGGGGTGCAGGAGGGACCAGGAGGTTTCAGGGTAGAACCTGGACCTCCAGAACAGCCCTTGGAGCCGTATTTCCAGCCCAGCCGAACTTCTGTGGCTACGTGGACAGAGTTCTGCTGTTCTGCCCATGTGAGGCTTGCTGTAGGCAGAAGGGCTTTCGTGACCGTGCACAGCCCTGTTTGGGGCTGCCTCAGTTTACCTGGTCAGTTCATAGACTCCATGAAACTGGAACCACGAGGAAGGGTCACTGTCCTCTCTCCCGCTCCCTCCCACACTCCCATCGCGTCTATCCTTCAGGACCAGCCACTCTGATACGGTTATTAGTTGCTGCAAATAGATATCATTTCACATCCTGTTTATTATTGGCGTATCAAGTTGATGTCTCATCTGAATTCAAAATCTCTAATGATAATCTCTCCTAAGTTCCCTGGGTCACTCACATTTATTATTTAGTGTTGAATAACTCACCAGGGCCATAGTTTTCTTTTGTCTATTTCTGAGCCCACCAGAAACCCCTCTCATTTTTTTCTGTCTGACTTCTATGAATTCTGGTTTTGGGGGTAAAGTATATGTGTAGGATTAGACTCTATTTACTTGTCGATTCTTATTTTCTTGATTGGATTTGCGAAGGTTAGGTGTTGGGTTCTTTCTTAAGGAAGGTTCTTTTTAATAAAAAAAACACAAGAGAGATCATCATCAGTAGATTATCTGTTCAGTCTCATTTTTCATTTCCCAGCCCGAGACCCCTTTTTGCAGAATTGATTAAGGCATGTGAAACTTCAGAAATCGTTCTTCCGCATGCCTCGGAAATTATTCTTCCTGCCTAGAAATTATTCCTCTGCATCATCCGAGATTGTCTGTCTTGGGCTCAGCTCTGGGGTGCGCCTGAGTATGGGCTGCCCAGGCAGGTGGCCTCTGGGGGTCCCCACTTTGGGGACGACTTTTCTGGCAGGCCCTCCTCCCTCTCCTGCCTCTCATCTGCTGAGCCCCTTGGCCACCGCCCTGCCTGGGGCGACACTGCACAGAGGCTTTCAGAGGGCACGGAGACCTCACCTGCTGGCCACCTGTACAGAAAGACGGACGGGAAGGAAGGACAGAGACGGGAGCATGAGCCAGAGGCATCTCCAAGTCTGGCTGTGGAGCTGGTGCTGCAAGCCCGTCCCTTCCTCGGGTGCAGCCTCCTGACTTGTGAGCTTCCCGCGCCTGGACACACTGACCAATCTGTCCTTCGTAGAAGGACCACATGGAAGGGACAGTCCAGTGTGGGGCCAAGGGCTTGTTTTAGTCCTGACAGTGCTCGAGGGTTGCTCTCAGCTCAGTGCTCAGGGGTTGCTCCTGGGGGGAATGGGGAACCGTGCCAAGCCAGGGCTCACCCCTGGCCCATGAAACAGCCCCGGGGACCGTGGATGAAATCAGCCCTGGGCAAGTGACCAGGACCCACTGGGCAGCGGGTGGAGGGAGTGGACCTGGGTGTCTCTGGTGCCCGCCCCCTCCTCCTTCATGCTTCTTACCACACATCCCTGTTCTCGCTCTGCAGCCACCGGTGCTCGCTGCGTGGGGAGGACCTGAACAGATGCTGGCTGACGCCCAGCGCCCAGCACCAGCCCACCATCCACCACGCCAAGGGCCTGTTGCACTACCTGAGCCGCCAGGGCCACCGGCCTGTGGTGAGTCCGGCCCAGCCCACGCCAGCTGCTCTCTGGGCCCAGCGGCGGGGAGAGGGAGTGGGCGGGGCGGGCCTCTCTCTGCGGAATGTTCTGGAACAGAGTCGGGCAGAGCCACCGTGGCCGTGGCATACTGGCTGCCTCTGCTTTGCCTGCCGCCAGCCCCCCTGCGCCCGGCTCTGCCCACTGCCCTCTTACAAGGAGAGCGACCCCTGTGTGAGGGGTGATTGGGGGGTGATTGGGGGGGACCTTTTCCCATCAGGGCTTGTGGGCAGCCCACACCCCAGTTCAGGGGTGACAGCTCCTACGTATCATTGGGGAGTGCCACGGGGTGCTCCCCCCTGGACGCTGGGCACAGAGCTGAATTTCCTCCTATTTGGGGGTCTTGGTGGGGTTTTGTGTCTGGGGGTTTCTGGTTGTTGGTGTGTGGAATTGCCATTTGGGAAGGCAGCTCCTGCGAGCTTGAGGAACTGCAGACATGCCTACCGTGGTGTGAGCAAAGCCCGCTCTGAGCTGAGACTGGGTGGGGAAGGCGGGAATGTTCTGAGTGCCTGTGTGGGGGTCCGCGGAGAGGCCACCGGTGAGAGCGCAGCTCCGCCTGGCCATCCCTGAATCTGCTCTGTGTTCCTTTTATGGGAGGGAGGGGCACTCTGGTGCTCAGGGCTGACTCCTGGCTCGGTGCTGGGGGATCACTCTGGATGGGGCTCGGGGGACCCGCTGGGCTGTCGGGATCCAACCTAGTCAGCCGTGTGCTAGGAAAACACCCTCCCTGTGGGACCAGCTCTGCAGCCTCTGCTCTAGAATCCTCTTGACATCTCAGCAAAGGGCCAGAGGCTGAGCGGGTCCCTGCAGTCTTGGGACTGTGGCAAGTGGGTGGGAGAGTCAGGGCCTTCCAGCTCGTGCTCACAGTGACCTTGGCACCCTTGGCCAGCCACTCTCCGGGGTGGGGCATGGGGGACTCTCTGAGACCGCAGGACCCCTGGGCCTTTGGGGTTCTTGTCATCATCATGGGTCTCTATAGTGATGGGAGAAACCCGCAAAGGCCAAAGGCACACTGGACCGAGCCCAGGAGACACAAGGGTGTTTCTGGGTGCTGCACGCTCAGGGCTCTGGCTCCCAGGGGTGACGCATGACAGTGGGGAGAGCTTTGCCCTGCTGGGGGCTCAGTTGGCCACGTCTCCAGGTTCCTATTGGTGGCACTAGTAGCCCAGTAGCCACCTCTTCACCTTCCTTTATTCTCTGGAGGGGCCACAGCTGCTGGGAGGTTACTCCCGGCTCTGCTCAGGGGACCCTGAGGTGCCGGGGATGTCACTGGGGTGGGCTGCCTGCACGGTCTCTCAGGTCCGCGTGGCTGCAATTAGTCCCTCAGCCTTGCATACTGTCAGGGCCCTGAGACTCATCATGAATTGTCCCCGACCTCCATGGTCTGGCCCAGCCTGAGGCCCGAGGAAGAGTCTTGGCCAGGAGAGTGTTTCAAGCAGCTCAGCCCGGACTTCTGTCTGCACGGCCCACGGCTGGGGCCTCCAGACCAGGGTCAGCCCTGCCTGCCAAGATGGAGCCATCAGCCTTTCTCCTCTGAACCCCACTCTGGGCCGGCCTGGCAGGCAACTGACCCGGGCTTGATCCCGGCACCCTCCATGGTCCCTGAGCCCTTCCAGGAGTGGTCCCTGAGCACAGAGCGAGAGGAAGCCCTGAGCATTGCCAGGTGTGCCCTCACATGCCCCCAGAACCAAAAGAATTCTCACTCAGGACAAACATGTGTCTGTCCTGACAACCTCAAGCCCGTCCCCGTGGTTTTTGCCATCGATGTGTGTGAGCCGTCTTGGGTCCCCAGAGCAGAGGGCGACCTCGGGGGTGGGGTGGGGGGCTCCGTAGGAGAGGAGGTGCCTGCAGGGGGAGCCCGGGCTGCTCTGAACCTCAGCGCACGCCGCCCCCCAACCCCCCCGCCGGCAGACCAGGCTCCTCTCTGCTCTGACAACCTCTAATTGAAGAGCAGAACATTTATTTTAAAGCGTGACAGGTGAAAGGCTTGTTTAAAAACCTAAATAAACATTAATTAACTGTAAACACGACAGCCAGACGCGCTTCCTGCTGGGACCATTCGCGTGGAGGGAGGCAGCGACAGCTGAGGACCGGGCGGGGTGTGCAGCCTGGCGGGCGGAGCCGGCAGTGCCCTTACTCCAGTGCTCGGGTTGGGCCTCCTCTGGGTGCCGTGGGGCTCCCGGCCACTGGGTCCTCCAGCCGCGGGTCTTGTGAGAGTTTCCTGGAGCAGTGAAAGCCCCTCTAAGAGGGCTTGGTGCTGTGAGGAACTGCAGGCAGGAGTGATGGGGAGAGCCGAACTCAGGACATAGTGAAAAAAAAAAGACAGGCTGGGCCCCACTGGGGCATGGCAGTTTGTAAGCATCACAGTGTTGCTTCTGTATCCACTGACCCCTGCACTCACCTATGTGCCAGTCTTCACTCATCCATGCAGCCGTCCAGCCATCCACTCTCCCATTCATCCATCCATCCATCTGCCTATCCATCCCCGCTATCTATCTACCCACAAATCCATCATCTACCCACCCACCCACTCATCCCTCCATCTAACCACCCACCCTCCTCACTGCCCACCTCCCCACCCATCCTCCCACCCATGCACCCACCATCTATTCATCTCCCATCCACCCACCCACCACTCACCCACCCACCCACCATCCACCCATCTGCCCACTCACCCTCTCACCCAGCCATCCACCCACCTGCCAGTCACACGCACACATACACACCCACACCCACTGTCCACCTTCCAACCCATTCATCTCCCCACACGCCCATCCGGGCAGCTGTCCAATTGTCCATGCGCTGGCCCCACGCGCGTGTGCCACTGTGCCAAGTAGGGGTGTACGTGGGTGAGAACAGTCTCTTGAAGGAATCACAGTTTCCTTTGGGAGAAGGTGGCGTCGGTCTCCAGGAAGCTCCGGCCACGCAGGATGGTGAGAACCACACAGTGGCCAAGGCTCGTGCGAGCCAGGGTGGGAAGCGTTTCCTCACGGTCACGGTCTGGGGTGGCCAGGGAGTGAGCTCGGAGGTTGCTCAGGTCACAGTGAGCCAGAACCATCTTTCCCGAGGGGAGACGAAGCGGGATGCATGCCGGACCTGTAGGGGTGAGGCAGGAGGGGGCTGCAGAGCCCCTGGAGACAGACAGTGGCACCCCACCCCTTCCCCATCCTCTGAACCTCGGTGTTTGCTCCTTTTCCATCCTGGGGCCGGAAAATCTGCACCGGACCCTAGAAAGGAAAAAAGTAAGAGTCACTCTTCTAATACGTACGTGTGGGAAGACTATCCCCCCATTTAAATTTAAACAGAGTCGACAGATGCGCTGAGCCCCCATGCCTGTCGGGGGCTGCCTGCAGAGAGGCGGATGGGAACGCGGATGTTTGTCACATTCTGGGGCTCTGTGAAGAGAGGCCTCGGTTTCCCCAAAGGGATAGAGCAGCATCTGGGCAGGGACAGCAGCAGAGACGTGGCCAGCTAGCCCTCATCTCGGGGCTCCCTGTGTGTCACTGCATATGAGCAGCAGGGAGACAGGACGGCCCCAAGGGACGGGCGCCAGGAGAGACACAGGAGTGACGGCCGGACAGGACACTGGCGGGAGATGTAGACGGGACCCTCTGGACTTGTTGGCAGGACCCGCTTTCCCTCCACCCCTCTGACCCCCGGTGCGTCCAGAGAGCCTGGAAACTTGTCAGAGGTTCAGGGTTGCCGTGATGGATCCTGCACAGCTGCCAGTCACGGGACGGGGCGGGGCCTGCCGTCGGCTCCAGGACTGGGTCCCAGCCCCCTCTGAGTGGACCCCCAAGCCTCAGAGGGTCTAACCGGAAGTGGTGTTGGCTTTCCGTCCCCCCCCCCCCCCCCCGTGTCTGCCCACTCCCGGCTGCAGCCTTTGTGCATCTTCCTGGGGGCAGAGAGATCAATAATGCAGAGCCCCGTGCTGGGAAGCAGGAACAAGCCCAGAAGTCAGGAGCGGAGACAGACACCCGCTTAGGGCTGGCGGAACAGGGGTGGGGAGGCCGGAGGGGGCCGTGGGGCCGAGAGCTGGGGGCGGCCTCGCGAACAAGGGACCTAATTAGCTTGCAGAGGGCCCAGAACGGGGCTCGGGAAGGGAGAGGGACGTGTGAGGAGAATAGCAATGCAGCCCTTCGCTGCCTCTCTGCTGCATCAGACGGCGGAGCTCACGTTCGCCGGAATTAAATTAGCCTTGCCGTTTCGCCCAGACGAGAATTCACTGGAGAAGGTTCTAGGGAGATGCCAAGAGAACCTGCTTCAGAATCATAATCCGCCGGCTGTGCTGGAGAGGGGACAGCGGGCACAGGGACTCCGCCTTGGTGGGGCAGAGGAACGGGAAAGAGTGAGAACATGGTTCCCTCTGCAGGCCGCTGGCCCTCGCCCCGGAAGCCTCTCAGTGCTGCCGTGCCACGGAAAGCCAGGATTCTTCTTTGTCGAAAAAAGAGTTTTTAGGGGCTGGAGCCCTAAGACAGTGGGGAGCACACTTGCCTTGCATTTGGCTGACCCCCAGCATCCCATAGGGTCCCCCGAGCACCGCCAGGAATCACCCCTGAGCATCGCCGGGTGTGACCCCAAACCAAAACCAAAGAAATTTCTGTTACAACCCTGTGGTCTATCAAGTTGTTCGTAGTATAGTTTCAGGCATTCACTGTCCCACCAACCAACATAACCCCAGCCACACCCCCAGTTTCCCACCCACCAGCCCAGCCTGCCCCCTTGCGGGCACAAGTACATTTGTCGCAACACAAAGGCAGAAAGATCAAAGCACCGGCCAGATCACAGAGTCTGGGAGGTCACGGTGAGCGGGGCTGCGGGCTTCCGTGCCATTTTCCCATCAGGTTTGCTGTGGTCCTACGGGGCTGGCAGATGCGGCCACGGTCCAGGAGCACTAGGTGAGGGAGAGTTTGGGTGCTCAGTCATGGAGCTGGGCTGCTTGTGTGTGGGTGTCTGCGGGGCTGCACAGCCTTCGGGCAGGCACAGAATCTGGCTGGGAACCTTCCTGGTGGTTCATTTCCGATTGGGGCCACACCCGGCAGTGCTCATGGCTGACTCCTGGCTCTGCACTCAGGAATCACTCCTGGTGATGCTCGGGGCCTCTGGAGTGCTCCACCCCCAGGATTATTCTGAACTTCCCGTGAGACCCGGATCCTTCGCTCTCACGCCCGGAGATCCGCCCCCAACCCCATCCTCGCCCGCACCTTCAGCCTCAGCAGGCCTCTCGCGCCCCCCATCCTTTCTCAGTGTTTTATTGCTAGTGAGCTGGGCTCTCCCGTCCTTCCGGAACCCCATCTCCTCATGCCCCTCTGCTCTGGCTTATACCCCACGGCACCTCCAGGGACGGGCCACATCGGGTCCCTGCCCCCCCCCCCGCAGCTTCATGTCCCCTGGGTGAACTGCCCCTCTTCTCCCTTTCACCCTGTTTTCTCCTCGGGGAGCCCCGCCCGCCCGCCTCACACAGACCTTCAGCGCGCCCGTCTGGACCCTGCTTCCGCCCATCCCGTCCCCTCTCTGTCGCCGAGTGCCCCTTGGGATGGTCTAAGCACAGAGTGGATGCGGAACGTGGGCTCTGGGCCCCCCACGTCTGCACCCACCTGGTGCTGACCTCCCTGCAGAGTGCGTGTGGGTGCCAGCTGCCTTGTCCCCCGGAGGCATTGTCGCCTGTTAGGCGGTGACACTGGATGTTGTGGCCCTCGTCCCCGAAGGCAGAGGCAAGCTAGAAAGATGCTAGTTTCTGAGTCTCACTGTTGGGGCGCCCAGGGGCTCTAGGCAGCCCGCGGGGGGCTTGTGGAGGCTTGAGTCCCATCGCTGTCCTCCTTCCCAGCAGCCCCCAAATTCCTACGAAAGGAAGTGGCAGTTTGAGACCTTCCGGCGGGGAAGGGGAAGCTTCCTCGCCTGGAATGACGCGGTGATTTGGCTGTAACGGCCCCCTGCTATTCCCAGGAACACATGTTTCCTACAATTAACGGGCACTTATTTTTAGCGATGCCAATCGAGCGTCAAACAGAGCAGCAATTCTACCGCCCGCCTTGGGATCCTCAGGACCACGAGAAGCCCCAGGGCCGAGCCTAGCTCTTTCAGCCAGGAAGACACAGATCACCTGAGCGGGGGTTGGGGGGGGCACGGCGGCTCTCGTGAGGGATTGGAGCCCCTGCGTCCTGGGGGAATGTGCTGCCAGTGAGCCGCCCTTCAGTTCCCTTCTCGATGGCAGCCGTGCATGCACAGAGAGAAACCAAGAGTACAAGACGTCGAGGTTGGAGGGTGCCCTGGTAAATCTGACTGTGTGTGAGCAAGGGGACTCGGCTGGGGGTGGGGGGCAGCCCTCACCACACAGCCCTGCCTTTGGGATTCCTCTGCTGCTTCCGGGAGAGTTTCCATCCCCAAATCCCTCAGCAACAGCCCTGAAATACAGCACCTCTAATATAGCTGGATCCCGGGGCTAGAGGGACAGCACAGCTGGGAGGGCACTGCCTTGCACCAGCTGGCCTGGGTTCGATCCCCGGCTCCCCATATGATCCCCTGAGTCCCACCAGGAGTGATCCCTGAGCACAGAGCCAGGAGCAAGCCCTGAACACCGCCAGGTGTGGCCCCAAACCAACCAACCAAAAGCAATAAAAGAGCTGACACTTTCATGGCAGAATGCTCTGAACCAGTGGGGGCGAGGAGACCCATTGTCGCCCATTCCGTATGTGGTGGATATATTTTGATTTCAGCACTCTAAACCGTAATCATTCTCTAGTTTCCGTCTCTCATTCGTTCATCCCTTTTGTACACGGATTGTCAACATTGCTAGCTCACAATCCAGTAGCTAACAAATTTATTCACAAGAGTGCAGGTCTGTGTAGCGCGCCCTTATTTTTGCCATGCTATTGGAAAACAGCATTTTCCCGGCACATCCTCTTGTTCCCGCCCCTGAAAATGGGGTTATTCTATTCAATGAGATGCAAATGGGATCATCTGTTGCAGTTCCCTGCTCCATATTAAATCTTCCTCACCCTGCCACCCACTAGAAGACGTGTCCAGCTGCCGGCATTCTAAGTGTTGACAGGCCCTCGGCACCACCTGTGGCCGCCCATGCAGCTCGGAGGACCTCGCCCCGGGGCCCAGCCCCCCGCCCCTCCACCTCCCACCCGCCACCTCCCAGCTAAGCCGGAAAGTTGGGGTGGACGTTTAGAGAGATAAATAAATTGGACCCTGGAGAAAATCACAGTGATTTATTGGTTTCTCTTTTCAGATATTCAATTCCTCCTAAATGGATATTTCCTATTGATTTTAGCATGAAACTGTCTTTCATAAAACTCACCCCTCCCTGTGCCCTCGTCCAGTTCCAACCCCTGTTTCACTCTCAGTCCTGAGCTGCACAGGACCCCTGGGTGTCTTCCATCCCCACCCCCCAAGTGCCTGCCCCCACCCAGGCTGCACTGGACGTGTCCAGGCTGGTCCTGCCGGTACTGAAGCAGCCGGCACCTTCATTTCAATGGTGTGAGCACGTACGGCACCGTGCTATGCAGTTTCCATGTTGCTCTGCCCCCTGCACCCGTTCACTTCCACCCCATCCTGTTCTTCCCATTCCCAATGCTCAGTCATCTCTGCTGTGTGACCAGGGCCACCGCCTGCGTCGTTGTCAAATGCTGCCTCCCCGGTGCTTAATCTCCCGATGCCGCATGGGTGAGCCCTTCTCCCCAGCACTCACCTCCCTAAACATGGTGCCCCCTGGGTCCGCAGAGGCTGCCATGGGCCACACAATCCCACCTGCCACTCTCACTGGGCCCAGAGTGCCCGGCACACCGGGGGACCCTCCCCCCCCCCAGCAGGATGTCTGTGTGGGGAGCTGGTGATACAGCTGGATCTGACCCACCTCTCTGGCCCCGGCAGGTCTTCTGTGACTTCCATGGACACTCGCAGAAGAAGAATGTGTTCATTTATGGCTGTAGCGCCCAGGAGACCCTCTGGCAGGCGGGCTCCCCGGTGGGCACCTCGGCCGTGGCGGAGGACGCCAGCTACCGGGTGAGTCTGGGCAGTGCCAGGATCCCTCTTCCCTTCAAGGCCTGCCTCGATGCCCCATAACGTTGGTTTTTCCTTAACGGGCTCTTGGATCCTTCCAGGGACAGTTACTCCATGTTCCAGCACCAATAACGATACCAGTCATAGCAGTAGATGGTCGCGCCCTCCTGATTTTTACCACTTGGCAGCCTGTTGCTCTGAATTCTTTGCTGCATGAGATACCAGCCTGCAAAGTGCACAGGAATCTGAGATGGGGCTCCCTGGGGACCCGGATCTTTAGGGCTTCTCCGAGAGCCACACGCCCTCCCCCTATCGCATCACACTGGGTCCCTCAGAACTGCCAGGAGGGATCTCTGAGACCAGAGCCAGGAGTGAGCCCTGAGCACCGCCAAGTGTGGCTCCCCCACCCCCCCCCCCCACCACCCAAATGTGGCTATAAAGCAAGTCTGTTATAGAAGACTTGGAGCCAGAATGTTCGGAGAGTTTTCACAAGCCACTCAAGAGAGGGCAGACACTTTTAAGAAGGAGCGAAAGATGCCATCGAATCACTGAATGTCCATATGGCACGTCCAGTGTGGCTCAGGCAGCCGCCCACAGCGCTGTCCACACCCAGACGCCCACACTGACCCTCTGCCCAGGGGGGTCATGCCAAGCATATTCCAATCTCAGGTGGGAATTCTGAACTCAGGAGCGGCTGGAGCAGGAAGGAGATTCTGGCTCGAGACAGGGCAGCAAGCGGCCAGGAGAGAGGCGTGCAGGGACCCTTCCTGCTGCTGTCTCAGCTCTGGGGTCTGCACACGGAGCAAACGCCTGTCCTCACGCCTCAGCAAATGCCCCTCAAACAGAGCCAGCCGCCGCGGCAGTGCCTTCCACCGCGGCCCTGAGCCCTTGACCGCCGCCATGGCAAGGGCCGTTATTATCCTCTTGCTTTCCCGACGGCCAGAGCGAGAGCTGGACAGGTTAAACCACCGGCTGTCTCCTGGATGAGCCAAGTCGAGTCTTTTGCTCACAAGACCCTGAGGTGCATGCAACGCACTCTGGCTCTGTGCTTAGTCCAGAAATTCTCAAAGCACCGAGGGTGGACAACGGGATCATGCCAGATGAGCTTCTCCCAGAGGTGGACAACAGGCAGGCTCCAGCTCCAGAGGGCACGGCCTGCCCACCTCTGAGACTCACAGCTCTGGCCTGTGCAAAAGGAGTCAGGCAAAAGTGAGCAGATGAAGCAAGGCTTCATTCAGGGTTCTAGAATGTGCCCCGAGACCAGGGTCCGACGTCCGTGTTGGCGTTTCCCCCCATGCTTTGGGGGCTCCAGGACACTCCCCACTTCTCAGCCGCCAGGAGTCGCTGTGCCAACATGGGAGAGGGGCAGTGCTGAGCCCCTGGGAAGTGGCCAGCCAGCATCTCCCTCCAGGTGCCCGTGTCGCCTGCCATGTCTCAGGGCTGTGAGGGATCCGTGGGCAGCCACGGGAGTGAGGGGCACATTTCTACATTCCCTTCTATTTGTCTGTTTACATAGGGGGTGGCGGTCCCAAGCAACGCTCAGGAGCCCCGAGATGGAGCTCAGCCACCTGGGCCTGGGGTCACACGATGTCAGGGGCCACATGGTGCTGTGCCAGGCCTGCGCCCTGACCACTGACCCACAGCCTGGCCCCTTTCTGGCACGTGTCCAGCTCACCGTCCGGTTTCTTAGGCTGGGCCCAGCTGGCTGCGAGACCCACCTTGCAGTCCCATGGACGGGCTGGGTAAATGGCCCTGGCGGCTCATCCTGCCTGTGTGTTTTCTCGCCCGTAGCTGCTGCCCCAAATCCTCGACAAGCTTGCGCCGGCCTTCACGATGAGCAGCTGTAGCTTCCTGGTGGAGAAGTCGCGGGCGTCCACGGCCCGGGTGGTGGTGTGGCGAGAGCTGGGCGTGGTCAGGAGCTATACCATGGAGGCCAGCTACTGCGGCTGCAACCAGGGCCGCTACCAGGTAAGGCAACCGGACACTGGCTCTGCCCGGCACCTCTGTGCGGGCCCTCACCCCTGCCTCTGCCTGCATCTCCGGTAGGTAGGTGGGCCGGGCCGGCCCTGCCGTCTGGCAGAGCTGGCCCACTGCCTGTTGTCACAGCAGCTCCTCTGTCCAGCCTGGAGGAATCTCGTGTGTGTGTGTGTGTGTGTGTGTGTGTGTGTGTGTGTGTGTGCGCGCGCGCATGCCCGTGTGCTCACATGTGACTGCAGAGCTGTTTCCTCTGGCCTGCCCTCCAGGGCACCTTCTCCACCACATGCCCTGCCTGGCAGCCACGGCCTTTCACAGCAGTGCACTGTGTCCCCCCTGCCCTCCCCCCACACTCCTAAATGGTGTGGGCTGGCACCAGAGCCTATGGCGCTTTCTTAGCCTTGCGCTGTTTCGTGGCCCTGCAGAGTCCACAGGTCTGTCTGTTCTGTGGCTGTGCACAGTCTGCGGGTCTGTCTGTACTCCGTGTCACTCTGTGGACTGTGCCCCTTGGAGCGGGCAGCTCCCTGATGTGCTGCCATCAGGCCATGCATGAGTGTATGCTGACGGGGGTGAGGGGTCTGGAGCCGGGGAAAGGGTTCGTGGGCATCACTCATCCCCCACTATGTGGACGGCTCCAGCCACTGCAGGGCTATCCTCGCTGCTCATCCCGCCCCTTGCCGAGCGTAAATAAAGCTTGCTGGGACAGCGCCAAGGAAACGAGGCTTTAAATTTGCTTGGCCCGCAGAGAGATGAGTCCTCCGTGGCTTCCCTTCAACCCCACCAATTCCGGGGCCTCTTCAGCATTGAAGCTAGCTGTGCTGGTCTGAGACGCATCCCAGGCAGCCAGGAGGCCCAGTCCTAGGGTCACTGGCCAGGGGTGGGTGGGGAGCAGCAGGGGGTGGGCACTCGTTGCCACAGGAGTTCGGCGCTGCCGTGTTGGCTGCCCGTTTTGGTAAAGACCCAGGTCGCATCAGCCCTGCTTTCGAGAGTCACCGTGAGTGAATGCGCAGATTGTGGGCCAGAATCAACCTCTGCGTCTAGTCTTGCTGAAGAGACATCCGAAGGGATGTGGGCTGGGCATCAGTAGCGCCCACCCACCTGTGCCGCCCCTCCCCAGGAGTTCTGGTGAAGGCACCGGTGAGCACGCATATGGCAACCTGGAAGTCTGATCCTCGGACACACAGGATGCAGAGGGACAGAAGGACCACATGTGTGGTCCTTGGGTTCGTGGGGGCAGACAAACACCCCTGCTCTTGTTTCAGATGCCATCCTGTACACCTTGGCATTCACCGAGGGCAAATTTCTACCCGGGCTCACCAAGCACCGATCCAGCTCATAGCTTGGAGTCATGTCAGGGTTGTATGAATCTGCCACCTCTGAGCCATGGCAGGCAGCCCCCTGGCTCAAGGCTCACAACCCCTTCCATGGAGTGCCCCGGGGGGTGGGGGCAGGGGGGCATGGAGGGTGCCCAGGAAAGGGCTCAGAGCTCCAGATCTCAGCTCTGACCCTTGAGGTCTCCTGTGGTGCCTTATATGTGATCACCCAGTGATAAGGAGGAGGAGGGGCCAGGGGACACCCCCACTGGCCTCCACCCAGGGTGGACCCCCGGCCCCCACCCAGGCAGACAACCGACTTCCTGTCCCAAGGCCAGGCTCTATATGAAACACTCTCAGCCCGGCCGTCTCCTGCCCTTCGGAGGCAGCAAGTGAGTGAGAACCTCCGTGGCCCGAGACGGGGATCATTTCACACGGGAGGAGACGCTCAGGGCTGGGAAGCCGGGATGTGCCCTCCCCATTGGGCACCTCTCCCTTTCCCGTGGGCCAAGCAGCTCTCCCAAGGGCAGTGAGTCCTCCGTGCCGGGCCAGGCATTTTCCTTCCTTCCCTCCGTCCTGACAACAGAAACCGTTTTGCCGTGGTCTCCCTCAAGCCCGCCCCATCAGCTGTTCCCAGCACACTACACGCCCAACTTGTTAGGCTCGGAGTGAGAGACCATTTCTGAGGGTGACATGCGTCTTGGAGCTGCACGGAAGGACGGCAGTTACTGTCTTCACAGGCCCGTTAGTAACGTGCTAGTTTCCGTTGTCTTCCAGAGAGTCAGTCAGATCATCTTTTTTCTACTTTTCCAGTTCTCTGCCCTTTTTTTTCCCCTGTGGCTGCATCTGCCCACCAGTGTCCCTGATAGTTACTTAATGGGGACATGCCACCAACTGAGACATGGACCTCTTAGGGGACCAGTCCAAAGAGCTGCGGGTCTGCTCTGAGGAACAGCTGGTAGGGAGTGAAGCAGCCGGCAGGGGGCTTTCTGTTTAGGGACGTCTGATCTCTGTGGACAGCTGTGGGCTGGTGATGTGGGCCCCACCTTTTGGGCATTTGCACGGACAGATGCACGTGGTATGTGGCCCCCCGTCTGTGGTTTGAGGCTCTTGTGAATAACTGACCCTCCAACCCCCATCCCCTGCCAGCCTCTCTCCTGGAATTGCCACTGGCGAAGGGCTGGGGGACAGCCCAGGGCTTAGAGGAAGGACGCAGATGGTCTGAGGGGAGACTCACACCTCCCCAGCCCCTCGGTGACCCCCACTTTCCACACCACGGTTCTGCCCCCATCCTTCCTTCCTTGACCCCCAGCTGGCTCCACTTCTGGTCAACTCACAGCTGTTTGGGGTGATCAGTTGGTTGGTTCCATCACCTGGAAGAACCAGGTCAAGTTTTCTTAGAACCTCTGTGCCCCGCTGTTCCCACCCCCCAAGAGTGAAGGAACTAAATTCTCTGGAGTGTGGTTTGCATGTCCAGAGCTACCCACAGCCTCCTGCTGGCAGCTGGTCAGCCGTGCCAGTACTGGGTGTAGATGGCATGGCTGGGTCCTTCTTCTTTTTTGTTTCTCCCAACATCTGCATTCTCTGACAACCCCGTCCTGGTAGGGTTCTGGGGAGAGCAGGGGGATCGCGAAGCCTGCTTTGCTATCTGGTGTCTCGCTCGTTTCAGGGATGCTGGTAGGAAGGCTGGACTGTTCTCCCTTTCCCTGCCGGCTGCAGTTGGAGGCTTCTCCTCTCTTGGGTGTGAGCTGACCCTCCGGCTCGTTGCTCCTTTCTTCCCATGAGCCGACTCCGCAGCCGCCTTTGAGGGTGATCTCAGAGCACGCGAGCCGCCTGCCCTCGCCTCAGGCTTCACGGGGCAATGACACAGCCCCCCCAGAGCCACGCGCAGTCCCGCAACGTCTGTCGGCTCAGCACTGTGATAAGATAGTGAAGGAATTAAATACAAATCAAGAGGCAGAGATGCTAATAAGGTTGCCGGCAGGGCCCTTTCCCGGGATTACAGAAACCCTTGGAGTGGTGAATTTTAAACGCCCGCCGTGGAAAATAATGCCACGTCTCTGCACCAGGAGCGTCTCCGGGGCCGGGGATCAGCCGGCGGAGCTCAGATGGCCGTGCAGCCCTTCAAACTCAGTCGGCTTCAAAGGGCCAAGAGGAAGAAAAGCAGGTTTAGCTCTGTCTGTCTTATCCCCCCTGGGGGCGGTGTTAATGCAGTAATCCAGACACCCCCAGGAGCAGACAAAAACCGCAGGAAAAATCAATCCAGGCTGGGCTTCAGCGGCACGGCCCTCCGGGAGAGGTGGCCGGGCGGGCATCTGGCCTGGGCCCTCGGCCACAATCTTGGGGTCACGCCTCCCCTCAGACGCGTGGGCTCAGGGCTCCAACCCCGCAGCCACTTCCCAGAGCCCTGATGGGGGCGTGGAGGGAGGGGCAGCCAAGCTCTGCGGGACACGGTCCAGTTCGAGCTCGGGCCTCGTGTCCGTGTCTGTGTTGGGCAGCCTCTACAGGCCGGGCACCTACTCTCTCACTGAGGCAGCTCAGGACAGACCGGACGTGGGAGGCACCTCCTCTCTGGGGTGTCTGCACCCACCACTCCACAGATGGGCTTCTGTGGCGGGGGGTGGGGTGGGGCGCAGCTAACCCCTGACCGCGGCCACCCCAGTTCCATCCCCAGCACTGCATTCTCCCCAAAGCCAAGCTTCTCAGACCCTCCATTAGGGAGCCGAAGTGTAGGCAATGGCCCCTGTCTCCCCAGGCAAGTTTGCATGTGGTATTGGGGGCATGGGGAGGGCTTCCAGCCCGACTGGTGCAGGTCAGTGAGAGGGAACCGGCTGTGAGTTATTTTTGGTGACAGGAGGGGGTATTGGTGGGCAGGTGGGGAATGTGGTTATGGGTCCCCAACCTCCTGGCTTCCATCCTGGCTGCTCTCATGCCCTTTAAGCCTCATTTCCAACCCTGCCCCGCCCTCCCGGGAACTGGGCTGGGCAGTGTCCACCCCTGGCCTCCTCAGGGAAGTGTCCTGAGTCCCAGACCCCTTGGCTGCATCTCGGAAGGTGCAGGAAGCTTCTTCGAGGGGGCATGTGGAGGAGGGCCATCGTGATCGTTTTACGGGATGGATTGCTGGTCACACACACAGCGGAGAACTCCGGGAAGCCACCCATCATGCCAATAAAATCTCATAGCGCACTCTCACAAACCTGGTTAGCTGCTGAGCCAAAAAACCCGCAGGCGGGAGCACAGTCTGGTGGCAAGGGGGACTGCCAGGGGGGCTCCCACCTCTGATCGGTGCCCCTCCCCCTTCCCGTTCTCATCCCCTCACAGCCGCTCAAAGTGTGTCCCGGCAGGCTGCTGAGTGCAGGAAGCAGGGCGCGCGGCAGAAATGCGGGTCCAGACAGGCTGGCGACAGAGGAGACCCCTCTCTGTAGGTCTGCACAGTCAGCTGGAGCTGGGGGACCCTCAGGATCCCTGGCTTCGAAAGCCAAGCCTTTTGCTAGCATCCAGGAGCTGATGTGAGCTGGGGGCGGCGGGGGGGGGGGGGTGTCCCAACAGGTGTCCGAGACTGGGGACTTGTCCCATGCAAACTCCTAAGAACAGCCCTTCCAGTTTCAGATGATACAGTCAGCTCCGGCAGCACCACTACAAAGTTCCCAAAGAGTATCAACGCCTGTGAACGGCACCCGA